GGCCCCTCCTTGCCCGCCCCGGCCGGGGGCTCCTGCAGCTTCTCCGTGTACCTGAGCAGGAGGGAGTTGCCCAGGCGGGACCCCAGGAACAGATAACCCGGCTCCAGAGGGACCATCTGGGGACACAGGTGTGCCCTGAGCGTCCCCAGGTGTGCCCTGAGCGTCCCCAGGTGTGCCCTGGGCGTGCCAGCTGTGCCCAGCTGTGCCCAGGTGTGCCCAGGTGCTTACACAGGTGGTGAGGACGGAGGCGGCCGCTTTGTCGAAGTGGAAGGAGCGCACGGAGCGCATCCCATCTGTGATCAGCGTCAGCACGTAGCTGGGATGGGGAGGGGACAGCTCAGGGGGGGACAGGGGACACCCCAAACCCTCGGGGACACCCCAAAATTCCTTGGGGACACCCATGAACCCTTGGGGACACCCCCAAATATTTGGGGACACCCACAGAAAAACCAGGCACCCCCCTCCTTGTCCCAGGGACGGAGCGCATCCCGTCCGTGATCAGCGTCAGCACGTAGCTGGGACGGGGAGGGGACAGCTCAGGGGGGGACAGGGGACACCCCAAACCCTCGGGGACACCCCAAAATTCCTTGGGGACACCCCCAAATATTTGGGGACACCCCCAGAAACACCAGGGACCCCCCCTTGTCCCAGGGACAGAGCACATCCCATTTGTGATCAGCATTGAGACAGCTGGGACAGGGAGGGGACAGCTCAGAGGAGGACAGGGGACACCCCAAACCCTCGGGGACACCCCAAAAGCCTTGGGGACACCCCAAAACCTTGGGGACACCCCCAAATATTTGGGGACACCCCCATAAAAACCCAGGACCCCCCCTTGTCCAAAAGAACAGAGCTCATCCTGTCCCCAACCAGCTCCAGGACATGGCTGGGACAGGGGGTGGCACTTCGGGGGGGGGGACATGGGACACCCCAAATCCTTGGGGACACCCCAAATCCTTGGGGACGCCCCCAGACTCACATCTCGCCCCCCTTGAGTGAGATGACCATCTTGTCATAGGAGATGAAGGTGGCCTGGGCACAGTCCAGAGTGATCCTCACGCCCTCCTGGACCCCTGGGGACAGGGACAGGGACAGTCACAGCAGGGACGGGGACAGGGATGGGGACAGGGACAGTGACAGGGGACAGGGACAGGGACAGTCACAGCTGGGACAGGGACAGGGACAGTCACAGCAGGGACGGGGACAGGGGGACAGGGACAGAGGACAGGGACAGTCACAGCAGGGACAGGGATGGGGACAGTCACAGCAAGGACAGGGGACAGGGACAGTCACAGCTGGGACGGGGACAGGGGGACAGGGACAGGGGACAGGGACAGGGACAGGGACAGGGAGGGACAGGGACAGGGA